ATGACATCACACTTGCTATTCGTATCGCGGTTTCAGTCTCTGTGGCTTTTATCCTATACGGGCTGCGTACGTGCGGTATTACGATCCTTCTCGCTTCGAAAGGGGGTTACTGTGGCGTGGGGGAGAGGGGGCGAAGAGTCAAAGGGAGCGAGAATTGTGTTACTCCTCTTTACTCTTCGACATTGTCGCCGAAGAAATCTCATCCGCGACTTTTTTTTCACGAGCGACTTGAGAATTCACCGGAGCACTGGGAGATTACAAACGCTTAATTGCTAGGAAACGCCAAGCTTCTCCGACATTGTCGTTCCTCTCGACATCCTGGTTGCAAGCGAACACGCTTCTTTTAACTCTTTCCACTCGGCGAGCAATTGTTATGTCCGGCTATTAAATTCAACTTTACTGAGCTTAAAAGTATCTTTATAAATATTAAGGATAGAGAGTAACTTTTGAGAATTTTTTGGAAGCTTTTAATTATTTTTCTACTTAAAATATCATTTTGTATGTAATGTTACCTTGCCCATAGGATAGAGTTTACGATACATATTTCTATGGAAATTTACTTGCGCGTTATATAATATCATATGTTTTATCTTCTATGTATTAATATCTCAGTATTTACACAATCGCTTAAAGTTTACGCTACGCGTAGCGTGAATAATTTTGCTTGTTGCAAAATACTCTGAACGCAAGTATCATGTTGTATACCGTGATGTGCAATATTTCTTTCATTTCCGGTATAATAAACTTTTTACGGATTTCCGAGATTTTCTCACCGGTTGTAACAAATCGCTCCTTACAATATTAATTTTTGTTATTGTAATATACGCCACGAGCACACACTTGTGCGCTGTTCTGTTCATTGTCTGGTTGCCGAGTTAAATATTCTCTTGTAAGTTGTTAACATATCGTGTACACACGAAATGGGGCGATAACGCGAGATGCGTTAAAACAGTTAACAGCTGAGCGATCCTGCTTTCGGGCAAGAATCCCACGTTGGTCTCGCTGGACCATATTTCCTCGACAAACGCAGCTTCCTCACCATGAAACGCTTTATTACTGACCTGTATTCATCCGGGATTTAACTTCTGCGGACATTAACACGGGAGCGAGCCAAAGTTTCGTCCGGATGAGTTTATATTCTTCGCCGTTGGCGACCAAAGTACGCGAACCCCTTAATTGCCGGTGGTAGTGTCGCGCAGGTGGTTCTTGTAATTTAAATAGCACATGACAGAAGACGCTCTCGCGTTCCGCTCCCGTGATCGTGAATCGCGTTTGGCGCGCGCGACTGGCATTCTTTGTATCTAACACGTAGACGTGCTCGGCATATTTTTGTTCGCGATGCATGCACGGAATTTTTCGTTTAATTAACGGCGAGCATTTATTGAATTCTCGATGGGTTATCGTCCTTTTTAACTACCAAACTAAGGAACTAAATTTAAGTTTGGTTGAAGTTTTTTAAATTAACAACTGAACTTCGAACAGTTAGCAATTTAAAAATCCGAGAGATAAGCTAGGAGAGAGTTTTTAATTAATTATCGGTACAGTTTCAATAATCGATTGAATGTATCGAGATTTTTTTTTCTTAAAGCAAAAGTTTCACTTCGTTTTCTTCGTTTTTAAACTAATAAAGCGATTCAATGCAATCATAGAAATTCTTTCTAGCTCTTGTGTCAATATCGCATTTTATTCGATTTATATATAGAGTTTATATATACGACTTTTACATATGTGTAGATAAGAACATGTGCGCGATTTAAAGGCTTCTCTGAAGCAGTGTTTCATGTGCTAAAAATGGTATATGAAGTCTTGACGTTATCGAGGTTGATCGCATGCTCGTTCAAATATCATGTGCTCCAGTTGCTCTTCCAGACACAGTCGTTTTTAAATAGACACAGAGCTATCTTGAAAGCTAAATCTTAAAATTAGGTCCGTTAAAACTCGTGAAAGTTTGTTCACGAGTTTATTTTATCAGGAGATATAGGGACGTGAAGGCCGTGAAGCACTTAAAGATGATACACGGTGAACGATATGAAGATATGAATAGCAAGTCAGCGTTATGAATTGTTATATATGTAAACTATTGTAAACTTCATGAAATATTTCGATCGAAAATACCAATTCCCCAAACTTCCACGTGCATGTTACATTTTTTTATATCTTCCAAACCGTAGAATTTCTCAAAGTTGAGAGAATTTCTTTAAAGGCACGATTCAACGATAAACGTATCTGTGTGAAGTTAAACCCTCCCCCCCAAATTGATTTGTCTATAACTATTGAACTATAGGGGAGGACAAACAAAAATTCCAACGGGGCATTCGTACAGGACATCCGATGTGCAAACGTTCGCAAAATGAAAATTTTGGATTTTTCAACATTGGGGGACTAACTTTACACACGTGATAAACGCGTACTTTTTGCATTTCACATTTATCTCGCTTCTATGTCGATGACAAAAATTTCAATCGGATCGGCTTTATTCATTGTTTATCCAAAGCTATCAGATAATGCATCCATTTGACGTTCGTTTATTTGAATATTTCACAAATCAAAGTGTTCCACGACGAATTTTATTACATTGACGCGCGCAATTACAATATTTTCACTTCGATGTACATTCGCGTGATGCTGCTTCGGGCGAATATTCGTCAGATGAACGCGCCATACATATCACCTAAAAAAATTCAATATATTAAATAAACTAGCTCATAATCTCTCCAATATTCCCGATGAAATGCTATCTAATTCGACGTCCGATTTATTTCGGCATTATGTGCAGCATTTATCGATGCCAATAAATTTCGCTTATTATCAAAGTAAGACGTCTGACGTGACTCATCGTGTCAAAGGGTCGTCTCGTTTTACGTTCGGGCTTTAATGAGTTTAGGTAAGCGGCACGAATATAAACGCGAATATTCGTCCTGTTTGTGTTCGCTCGCTGTATTACTCACTTCGGAGCCACTGAGGACAGTCGGCGAACGATAAGATGGCACAAGACGCGATAATGTGACGCTATTTGTCAAGGCGTTTCGCTATTTCGCACGCGGTTGCAGAATTACCCTGTACAAGGAGAGAACTGATCTTCTGGGAGATGTATTTATGCGGGAGATGTATTTATATACATAAGGAAACTAATTTGGTAGTAGATGTTCTACTTTAGTCGCTATATTCAGCTATGAGAGTTTGCTTTTTTGTCACCATTGTCGTTGGCTCGCTTTTTCGGCGGTCCATGTGGCGACTGTCGTTTTCGCGAACTTCCATAAACGAATTTAAAACGGGAGAGAGATTCGGAGTTTTTATTTAAAAATTTAATTCGTGGTTTCTGCAACGGGTACTGGATTAATTTGCCGGGTGCGAGTGATGCTGTTACGAACACACGAATAAGCGCTAACAAAAGTATCGTAATTTTTTTCTGACAAACGAGAATCTATACGATTATGTTTGCTTGTAAATAAATACGAATATAATATATGACGCGTGGAATTAAATCAACAATTGCGATTAAGTAATTGCGTGTGCACATTTGATACGTAAAATTATAACTATAGAATTTTGCCACAAATTATAAATCATTTGTAGCTGTAATTAATATTTATTTTTTATTGCAAAATCTTGCTCCGAAGCAGTATCCAGTTTATCTATATACAATAGGATTTTTTCTCGTGTTTTTCTGTGGTTTCCTAATTAGGTAATTATCTGGTTCCAACTTCCCGAAGCGCCTTTTATTTCTTTAATTACAACGCCAATAAATCGTATCCGTTAGCTATTTTAGTCTATTTCCTGAATCATTACGAACGGTAACGGTTTCGTGAGAGAGTTCGATTAACTTCAAACTCATGTTCGGCCTTTCGCTCGTTTCGCCGTAACTATCGACAGTGCCGTGGAAATAGACTTCTCCTTTTGCCTTACTAGTCTACCAGTTACTTGCCGAACTCCAACAGCGACTATATAGATACGTATAGTCGATCGTATGGTTCACAATCGAAATTTGATCATCGGAGCTTTTGCCACGCGCTTCAGCAAGTTCGACTCTAATTCTCTTCCTTACTCTTGCCGAATTCAATTCAATCCCGTAACGGCCAATTTTGCCGTCACGAGTTCGAAATCATTTTTAGATTTAGACCGAAATATCGTGAACTTGCTTCTCGTGTCGCGCGCGCGCGCTGGCTTTTATTCCACAAAAATTTTTTTTTAAAAGGAATAAACGCGGCTCCACTGCGCGTTGTAACATCGATCCAAATGAGTTAATTAAAATAGATATCGGACATTATTAATTACCCGCGAATAGAGAAAATGGACGATGGAATCTGTCATTGTAATGCCATCCATTAAGCGGTTAACCGAGGATTACCGCGAATGCGCTTATGCAAGTTTAGTTGTATTTTGTCATGATGGTCGCACCAACATCATCATAATCATCCCATCGTGCCAATGCGTTTCGTTGCGATATAATCGTTTATTTGCACGTCGCGCTAAATGGGTAAGTGTGTCGAACCGGTATTACGCACTCGGTTATTTGCAAAACAATTGCATCACCGTACGTCACCGTTTCGCAAACAAAGGATTTGGTTATTAAATAATACGTGCCATGAGCTCTCGGTTTCGTCTCTCTCTCTCTCTCTCTCTCTCTCTCTCTTTTTTTCTTTGTCGCTCTCTCGCTTTCTCGCTCTTTCTGTCTTTATATCCCTTTTTCCTTCATCCGGGAAACGAGAAATAGAGAGGAAGAGACGGAGGACGAATGCGCGCGAGGAGCAGAAGAGGAAGGAAGTTTGCAAACATTCGCGCGGACGCGTGCACGCCCATAGCGAAACATTGTAATGCAAATCCGCGACGCGCACGTCAAGAAGCAGGAAAAACGAACTACCCCCCCCTCGGTGACAATTAATATCACAACGCTCGTGCCCGCAAGAATTCCTACCGCGTCCTTCCGACTCCGCGCGCGTGACACGAATGCACACTGAACGCTGCTCTAACCTGCGGTTTTCCTTGTCTTTGTGTTGCAGGATAAGACTAGCCGGACCGACGTCTCGCCGACGACGACGACGACGAGCGAAACTCGCGGCGCAGTGCCGTCTCGTTTTCACTGCGACACGACTTCATCCGTCAGCGACGTGTCTCTCACTCCTGTCGTTCCCGACCGCGTTTTCTCGAGGGAAGTGCGGCGCGGATCCACCGTGAGATTCCCGAGTTTCGTCGAGCATTGAAATCGTCACGCGAAGAGTCGTCCGCGCGATTTCGCTCGGTCGTGAGATAACGCGAAAATTCGTCGTGCATAACGCGCGTCTTCTTATCCGCAACGCATTGATCGCGACGTCGCGCGCGCCCTTCAGTGCCGGAAATACCGTCCGGGATAATCGTAGGACTCGTCGTCGTCATTCGCCGTCGACGACATGATCTTCAGGGTGACGTTGTTGGTTGTGTGCGCGCTGCTGGCTGGTGCGAGATCCGAACCGAGACCGCGGTCGCGACCAGTGCCGATCTATTCGAATCAGTTTGCCGTTTACGTGCCCAGCGGACCGGAGACTGCCGACGAGATCGCCCAGGAGCACGGGTTCGACAATCATGGACAGGTAAGTCCGCCAATTTCTTGCGTTAAGGAGGAAGGTAAATTCTGGCGAACCTAATATAAGCGCGCGCTCTCGCTCTCGCTCCTTACGAAATGTAACAGGTATAGCGAGAAATTTGATACCCGCGATTACGGGCAGGGGGTCCGCCGGCGGCGGAAGGATAATCAATTAGCTTAACTCGAGCGCCACACGGAACTCGATTCCCACACGTTCGACGCGCGAAACGCGCTCTGTCGATCAGATTATGTTTTAATTTTAGGCTATCCCTCCTCCTCCCCCACCACTGCATCTCTTCGTCGTAACGTCCAATTTGCTCCAGATAACTCGTCTGTCCGACAGATAACTCGGGAGAACGTTTTGGCCGAGTTGGGCGAAACTTATTAGCGAAGTAGGAAATGAGGCGGAACTTTATTAACGCCCTTATGCGCGAAATTTCACGGGCTCCAATTTATCGAGTTTGTTGTTATGAAGTTATTTGCTTGCGAAATCGTGGCAATCCGGTAGGATCCCGCGCATTCCGGCAAACTGCTGACACTAATGATCTTAACATCCGGAAAGTCTTGAAACTGATGAAGATTTTTCAGTTTTTAATTTTCACATAATCTTTTTTCGTGCTCGTTACAAACGTCATACAACAGAGGATTAAGATGAAACCAGTTACGTTGTAAGAAACTCTTTTATTTTTCATGTATATCCAAGAACATGATTTATATATTACTATACTTCGCATTTTTAATTAATGCTCAAATTACCGCGTTGATTTGGCCAATTATTGACGTCTGATGCAATAAAGTCATACGCGATATTGTACAATTTTCTCCGATTTGCTACGTCGATGAATTTTGCAAAATATCCCGATACCCTGCCAACGGTCTCTCTCCGCTTTACATAATAGCTGGATTTCGCGAATTTGCATGCGCCTCTGTCTCTCGTCGCATAATGCTCGGACATGGCAAACATTATGAGGCCATGCGGTGAAGCGATTGTCAAACGCGAGTTCAACATTTTATCACACAATAACGGCACAGTTCGGCGAACTTCTTTCCGCCTGTCGCTTAAGCGACATGTCACCTAGCGCTAAAATACCTCGAGTCACCATCTACCCTACATCGAGCGACAAACAAGCTCTAGGAATGCTCGATCCTAAATAGAATTTCTGGGAAGTATTAATAAAAAGATATTTCTAATTCGATTTCTGTCTATTAAATTTTGTTAAGATAGAAGCAAAGTTATTTTAAATGCTAAAGGCAAACTTAATGAACATCAAAGTAACTTTTTCTTCAGAAATGTAAAGAATAATTGTAAACTTTTATGTATGACGAGTTGTCAAAATTATATTTTTGTTGTAAATATCAATTTCTGAGTTGATTATATAGGCAACCGAATATAAGGAAATTTATTCAAGAATCGTTATAACATTCTTATAATCAAATCCAATTTGTCTAAATTGCGTATCCGCTCGTTTCCATTTTTATTAACTGGAACGTGCACTTAAAGGCGATATATATTTGTTGAAGTTTGGGCTTGCCAGAAGTTCCGCGCTTTTTATCCGCTTCTCGCAAGGAATCGCGCGAACTCGACTAAGTTGCGATAGTTGTGCGCTTTAATGTAACATTAAAAAAAATTTCTCAACCCGTGAAACACGTCGTTTCCGCCGCGCGATACACGACATGTCCGTTCTCGGACTCGTGGCCGTAACGCGGTAGTTTCTGTGATTTTCTCGCGGTGTTTCTACCATCGTTCTCTTTCTCTCTCTCTCTCTCTTTTCGCCATCCCACGCGGTGGCCACATTTTTCCAACAACGAGCGCTAAAGTTTTTATCTCGTCGGGGGATGACGTACCGGATGGCAAAACCCCTCCTTTCACCGCGCGCGCGTCGCACTTTCTATCCCTTACTATTATCCCCTTCTTCCTACCACTCTCAGCATCAACCGGTCGGTTTCGCGTTCCGGACAGAGAGAACGCGGGGTAGCGAGAATGGTGAAAAAGGGAGGAGAGCGCTCTCCGCGAATACATATAGGTGTTGCGAGATAAAAGTTTATTACCGCGACCTAACAAATGCAACCACTACTCGCCGATACACGCTGGATGCACCACAACGATTATTGCGTCATCCCTCTCTTCTCCTCCCTGTCTCACGATTCATCTTTTTTAACTCACTGACGTTTCTTCTCGTTCTCCGTAAAATCACTTACCACGAATGTGCGGAGAATAACGAAAGAAGGGATGGAACGATACTGCTCTCATATGGAACGTCAACTGTTATCTACGAGAAGTAACGGCTCCCTCGACATTTACCGCGCCGATGGTGCTCTAGGTTGAACCAATAGATGTTTGCTTGCTGCGTCCATATACGGAGAAGATTTCGCGAAGGAAAAATATTGCGTATGAAATTTCTACTATGAACTATAGTCTGGGGAATAGTATTTTTACGTCATATTAGAAGGCGATTTAAAACCACAGATTTAATAAGAACTTTCTAATTATGAAATTTTTGTCATAATTAGATTATAAATAATAATCTTCTAATTTTTTGGAGTGACATTTTTAAAACCGGTTTCAACTAGTACAGTTGAAAATGAATGAAGAAATAACGTTTTGTTTCAACAATGAGGTAATTAAATGTCAATTACTTCTCGCATTATTAAGAGCCGCGCATTTTATGAGACTTTTAAAATAAATAATAAAAAAGCATCTTATTAGATATTTAATTCTTGCAATTGTATTTCGAATATTTTTTCATTAAACAATAGCAAAGGCAATCTTTTCACCTTAACTTTTTAGAGAATTTTAATCGTTAAATGGTTTTCTATGAAAATAGATTGCATTATTTTTTATGCTTGTAATGCTTTACTGCTTTATTCATACAAATGTGATAAGTTATCAGAAGAGACGCGTTCTCTTTACAACTTTACCCTGCGTTTCCTCTTTTCATATTTTCAGCGCTTAGTTATCTTTCAGAATTTTTACACCGTTGCAATTTATCTCGCCATAAAATTCCAGATTCGGCAGATAGTTGTTCGACGCGAAAGGCTCTGCTCGCGTTTTGTCGCTTATCTGCCGAGATCGAGAATATCGCTGACAGGATCGCATAACCATACAGCGAAACTCGCTCATTTTACATGCAACGACATTCGACTCGGTTCGATTACTCACGTTCATTTAGTAGAATCAGATTTTGTAAGTGCGTCGTCAAACCCGTTGAGCGAAAATTCTCGCTGCGCCAGTAAATTAAAGCACGAAGAAAAATACAGGAGCCCGATCTCTCTAGTCTTCTCGGCACAGATGGATATAAAAAGTTTATTACTCGTGACTGGGGAAACGCGAAAGCGCGTGAATATACCGGAGAAAAAGAACCGGTGAAACTCTTCCGTACATTCGCAACTAAACGGTGACTCAATTACATCGTACAAATTTTCACGAATTTTCATTGAAATTGATGGCAGAAGAGTATTAAAAGAATAAGAAGAGCACATGACATAAATGTAATTGAGATAGTTATTTTCAAAACGGCACGTAAACGGTTTTCAGCAAAAAATTGGCATTGCACGAAGCTATTTACATGTTAAATATAGTATTTAATATATATTTAACATATATTTAACATATAAATAGCTTCGTGCAATGACAATTCAATATAAAACGTTTTTTAATTAAACGCGTTTGATCTGAAGTAATAATTAATGCAATTTACTCGGTAATGCAATTTAGATTCTTGATGTACTCAAATAACTCCGATTTAAATATCAGTATTACTCCAAATATATAATATATATTTTACAATTATACGTCATTTATATGTTTGCTACTAAAATTACTTTTCCTATTGCATCACTTTCAACTCGGGTAGTTACGCAATTGTTTTACTGTGGCAAATTAATGTCGTAACCGGTATTTTACATGCTACAAATGCAAATCGCTCGAATGCTGAGAACCTTGACAGAGATCTGGTCTTGACGAGAGAACCTGTGTGGTCAGCATATGGGTAGGAAATATTTTATAGCTTACGCTATATATATAAAATATATGTATATGTCCCGGTATAGATACGGTTACGTCGTTTGCATGATATTTCAAAGCTGTATATTACGAAGAGACGTTTTTACATTTTAAATGTGACATAACCGAAACGTGGAATAAAAAGCAATCTGTGTGATTTGGAAGATAGGAGATGACTCTACCTAAGAAAGAAAGTGACTCAACTTAAAAGATGAAATTCATCTGTGATACATTTTTTATTTTAGTTAAGGAAAGACGAGTTTTTAAAAATAAAAATATGAAATTAATAACTCTATAAGTTGTTAAGAATAACAAAAACATCTATTTTCTTAATTTTAATCTTATAAGGATTCAAATACCGAGATATTAAGCATCGAATATTAAGAAATTATGGACGAAGGCGAGTTAGCTAATTTTTGTTAATGGATAAGAATTGATTACGGATTACTGAATGAATTTTACTATGTCCAATTTTCAAAACATTTTATATGTACACATATCGGTCAGCGTACTCGTATTTGCAGTAATATGTCAAGCTATATAAACGACTATTTAGCATGCAATGTTTCTGTCATGCACGTTTGCCGTTGCCTGACCGCGAGCGATGCACGACTTCGGGATACACGGTACGGTATTTATCAACCACCTTATCAGCGGTAAACCGGCCATACTTCCCGTATCCCACCCATAGACAACGACGTTGCGCAAAATGAAACTGGAGCGAAACGCATTACCAATTTCATTCTTTCTCTGTCTGTTACTCTAAAGCCTAAAGTAATCGGAGTCGCATTCGTTAAGAACCGATCAACACGATCCCGTCGACACGCAAGGTAGTTACGTTATACATTATACAAGGTATTTTCAAACTTCAATTAAATAGTTTCGCCCACAGATACCTAGACAATTCAAATTCAACTTTCCTGCAGCAAAGATTTAATCTATGAATATTTTAAATGTTTGCCAATCTATTTGCTTCCAATTACTTTCAATTCGCAGATTTTTCT